TTTTTTGAGAGGTTTTCGCTATAGGGCGCGTGCGCTCGCCAGACAGACAGAGAGAGACAGAGAGACAGAAAGCGAGAAATCACCCCCCAGAGGGGATGGCCACGCCGCAATCCCTTCTCCTCCATTCTCCTCTCGGGATCTTGGGCACGCACGCACACGCACCCGGTGTGAGTTTTAAGCCACCGGGTCCGGGACGCGAACTGGTCGATTACGTGGGAGTCCAGCGACATAGCCATTATGCTAACTGCTGGTTCCCTGGAATTTATTAATTTAGATGACAGAACTAAGCTACTTCCTTTGTGAAAAAAAAACAAAAACAAAAACAAAAAAAACAGGGGAACAAAATAAATTAAGGTTGGATCCTCTCTGATTATTTCAGATATTCTTTTCTTAGAGCCAAACATAAATAAGAATTCCTTCCTTGGTCATCTTATACTGGTACCTGGTTTTCACTGTCACTTCAGTGTCACCAAACGTAAATACATTTACATTATATATGTTTATAGATAAAGGAAAGTGTCTGGAAAAATATCCCACTGTGAATGTTTTCATTTCTTGGTGATAAAATTAGTTTTTTTTATTGACTTTTAAAAACATTTGTAAGTTCTGGGGTGCTGGCAGGTGGCGTGGTGGTTAAAGGCACTGGACTCCCACATAGCTGATCGTGGTTTGAGTCCCAGACCTGGCAGCTTGCTTTCTCACTTTCTCTCTCTCTCTCTTTGTCCCTCTCTGGTCACATTGAAATAAATAAATAAATAAATGGATAAAGAAAGCTATATAAAATAATTCTTTAAAAAAACCCCTAAGTTCTGTTTTTCTGCAACATACCGTAATTGGCATAATAAAACACACAAATTTCATTTAAATACAAATACAGAAAAAGGAAAAAAAAAATCAGCCATAAGCTACTACCCAAAACTGATATGGTAGCTTTCAAAGAATTCGTGGAAAATGGGATTGAAGGATGAAGTTATTTTGATGCAAAGTTTTGAAATCCATGCATAGCTTTTCCTGTAATATGCATGTCCACGAACTTCCTGAAGATGCCCCAAATATCGACATTGTTTCTTTCCCAGTTCACAACAAAAATGGAAGCCTCCTATGCACATTCTGCCCTATTTTCTTCTATTACTTTTCTTTCTCCCTGGCCCCGCTCTATCCTCCTAGCTTCTTCCAGCTTCTCAAGTGAGTAATGCAAATAAGGCTTTTTAAAAACAATTTTCCATTTAACTTTATTCATTTATTTACTCATTTGTTTATTTTGATTTGACCAGAGAAGGACAGACACACAGAGAGAGAAAGAGAGTGAGAAAGTGAGCTGCTGTGCTTGGGACTCGAACTGCAGTCGGCCATGTGGGAATCCAGCACCTTTAACCACCACACCACCTGCCAGCCCCGTAATGCTTTTTCTTTTTTTCTCACTTTTTAACTTTTTGCCATAGGGTGTATGCACTTGCCAAAAAGAGACAGAGAGAGAGAACGGGAAACTAAGAAATCACTCCCTGAGGAGATGGCCATGCCACAATCCCTTCTTCTCTTGGGATCTTGGGCATACATGTGCATGTGCCCTGTGTGTTTTTCAAGTCGATGGGTCTGGGACTCAAACTGCACACTTGACCATATGGAACCCAGTGACTTAACTTCCACACCACCTGCTGGCTCCTCTTAAAATTCTTTTTAGCAAGGTACAAGAAGAATGCAATGAAAGTAATTTTTTAAAATTTGCTATAATTTAATTTTAATTTTAATTTTTTTCTTTTTTTGGAGAGGTTTTTGCTATAGGGCACGTGCGCTCGCCAGCCAGCCAGAGAGAGACAGATAGAAAGTGAGAAATCACTCCCCGGGGGGATGGCCACGCCGCAATCCCTTCTCCTCCATTCTCCTCTTGGGATCTTGGGCATGCATGCACACGTGCCCGGCGTGAGTTTAAGCCACCGGGTCCGGGACGCGAACCATGGTCGACCACATGGGAATCCAGCGACATAGCCATTACGCTAACTGCTGGTCCCTATAATTTTTTTTTTAAAATTTGCTATAGGGTGTGTGCTTGCCAGAGAGAGACAGAGAGATGGAAAGTGAGACGTCATCTCCTGGGGGGGGTGGCCATGCCATGTCCCTTGTTTTTCATTTCTCCTCTCTGGATTTGGGGCATGCAAACGCAGGCACCTCGCATATACTTTAAGCCACTGGGACCAGGACTCGAAGTACAGTCGGCCATGTGGGGACCAGCTCCCTTATCCACCGTGCCATGGGCTGATCCTAGATTAGAATAATTTTAATGAAGGTGTATATTACTTTTTTTAAAAAAGAGTCTTGCCTGTGCTATTGTAGAGTCATTTAAAACTCGCGATAACATGGGAACCAGCAGTTAGCGTAATGGCTATGTCGCTGGACTCCCATGTAGTCAACCGCGGTTCGTGTCCCGGACCCGGTGGCTTAAAACTCACGCCGGGCGCGTGTGCGTGCGTGCCCAAGATCCCGAGAGGAGAATGGAGGAGAAGGGATTGAGGCGTGACCATCCCCCCTGGGGGGTGATTTCTCGCTTTCTGTCTCTATGTCTCTCTCTGTCTGTCTGGCGAGCGCACGCGCCCTACAGTGAAAAATCTCTCAAAAAGAAAAAAAAAACTCGCGATAACAGTAACAATAAACTTACGTTGAATGGAAACCCAGCAGCTTGAATTTGCAATATATTTTACCATTTATAAAGTCCTTTTGCATTTATTTCCTTGTCTGATGTTATACAAATTCTGTGACCTGAGGGGAATTCTAGTAATCCCTTTGGCAACCGAACAAATCTAGGCAAAGTGACTGAACCAGGGTCTGGGACTCGAACCGTGACTAACCATGGGAATCCAGCACCTTAACTGCTATGCTACCTGTTGGTCCAAAAGCTACTGTATTATTAACATTAACTTGACCTGATTCTTTTTATGTTTTATTAATTAATGAAGAGGTTTTTGCCATAGGGTGCATGTGCTCGTTGGGGAGAGAGACAGACAGACAGTGAGAGGGAGAGTGAGAAATCACCCTCCACGGTGAATGGTCACGCTGCAATTTCTTCTCCTCCAAACTACTCCTGTAATCTTGGGCACACGCGCACATTAGAATCATTGTAATGAAGGTGTACATTACTTAAAAAATAAAAAAATAATGTACTGGTGTGATTTTCAAGTCGCTGGGGCTGGGACTAGAACCGCGCTCGGACATGTGGGAGTCTAGTGACATAATCACTATTCCATCTGCTGGCCCCTCTTTTTATGTTTAAAGCAATAATGTGACCACCAGGAAATTCAAGATGCCACACGCGGCCCTCATCCTGCCTCTGTGGGGCTGACTTCGCCGTCCTCACTGTGTGGTTGAGGGTGGTTCCCAGGTCAGGGCTGGGCTCGGGGGTGGAACACGCTGCGTCTCTCAGGTTGGGATGCCCTGCTAGGTTTACAGAGCGACTGCAAAGATGACCAAAGCCCCGGATGCTGGAGCAATGACGTGCAGGAGGCACAGAGGCCTATCCCGCCTGTAGACGATGCCCTTGAACCTGCGCGGTGCAGCACTGGAGGAGGCCGGAGCTAGTGGAGTGGCTGTGGATGCCTTTCTCACGGCCGAGTCACTCCGCCCAGGCCTCCCAAGAGCGCTGTGTAGTGACCTGTTTGGGCTTTGGTTTGTGGGATGGAGTTTCTTTGAGAACCTACGCAGGGAGATGATAAGGGCCGTATCCTTTACACAGAGCTGCCACACGCTGGCACCTGCCTGGAGATCTCTTTTCTGGATGAAATTACATCGGAGAGCCCGGCCCAAATTCCAGCTTGGAAACTGACGGTCGCTGGGCTCTCCGGCGGCTCGGCCGACTTCTCAGAGTGAATGCCTTGTTTGTAAACACGATCACGCCTCTGCTCCTGCGTGGACATCCTGGCACCGGGGCACTGGGGAACAGGAGTCCAGGGCATTGTCCCCAAGGTGGGGAGACCTCGAGGCAAAAGGAAAGGCACGAGACCGGGTTGTAAGAACCTGGGGGCAGCTCAGAGAGGGGCAGACTAGCATCCGGGCTCTGCAGGTGGCCCCAGGCTTTCCCTGAGTTTCGCTTAAAACCCCTTATATTGAGCCGGCCCATGAGCTGGTGGTCAAGGTGCCTGGATCCCACATGGCTGACTGTGCAGTTCTAATCCCAGTGCTGGTGGCTTGAAAAATATGCCAGGTGAGGCCAGCAGATGGCGTAGTGGTTACGTCACTGGACTCCCACATGGCCGACCATGGTTCAAGTACCAGACCCGGTGGCTTGAAAATCACGCCGGGCATGGGCGCGTGTGCACCTAAGATCCCGGGAGGAGAATGGAAGAGAAGGGAGTATGCAGTGGCCACCCCGCTTGGGGGTGATTTCTCACTTTCCGTCTCACTGTCTGTCTGTCTCTCTCGCTGGTGAGCACATATGCCCTAGAGCAAAAATCTCTTAAAAAAAAAACAAACAAAAAGGAAAACATGCCAGGTGCGTGCACACCTAATTCCCAAAGGAGAGGGAAGTGGAGGAGAAGGGACTGTGGCTTGCCCAAGCCCAGAGGGGCACTCTCTCCTTCTCCCTCCTTCTTTCTCCAGCAAGCATACGTACCCTCTAGCAAATTAAAAACCAAACCGAACCAAACCTTCTCATGTTCTCAGTCTATGTCTGAGGGGCAGACACTTGTATAAAGCCTATTTTTGCCTCACTTTTCTCACCCTTCAGAGAGCTATCTCTGATATAAGAACAAAAGTGGGGCCTCTGTGACAGCCAGACGCTGCCGAAGCCTGCAGGAGCAGGAACGCATTTTGGCTTGCACGGTGATGTCTGCACGGTATTCTTTTTAAAAACTGGAGTTGAGCGTCCGTCTCTCAACATCGGGAGAGGTTACATTAAGCCCACACTTCTGGCAGCTTTTGAATCCATGTGCAGATCAGGCCACCCGGGCCTGCCTCCTTACAGGGGACACCGGGCTGGGCGGGATAACGGAGCCCTTTCCCCGGGGTGGGCTCTCCAGTGTGCTGCAAGCCCCTGGCTTCTGCAAAGGTGGCCGAGTGCTGGAGTCCTGGCACATCCGGTCTCTCACTCCCAGCGTGGCCATGTGCTATTTCTTGGCCAGTCTCCTAACCCCAGTGCCCGCCCACTGACCCCCACAGACCCTGACTCGGGCCATCCCCTCCTCCGCGCTCACCTTCACTGAGTAGGCCAGCGAGATGGTGACGGCCAGAGGGAGCCCCTCGGGCACCGCGACCACCAGCACCGTCACGCCGATGATGAAGAACTTGACGAAGTACTGCACATAGACGGGGGTGCACTCGGGCAGCCACGGCTTCTTGTTGACCACGAAGGTGTCCACGGTGAAGTAGAGCACCAGGATGATCACTGTGATAGCGGACATCACCAGGCCTGCAACGTGGGGACGCCGGCTCACCTCGCAGCGGGGCCCGGGGGCGCTGGGGTCGGGATCCCAGCTCGCCCCTCCGCTCTGCTGCGTCTGCGTTTTGTGCCTCGGGACGAGTCCCTGCTGCTCACCGAGCCTCAATCTCCGGATCTGCGCGGGGTGTGTGTGTGTGTGTGTGCGTGCCCTTCACGTGGCTTTTCTAAAGCTCAGATGTGGTCACGCTGGGCCTCGCCTGACACATAGTAGGCGCTCAAGAAAGGCGCGCTGAGTGGCCGCGTGGGTAAAGCAGGGGTGGTTTGCCTGACACATAGTAGGCGCTCAAGAAAGGCGCGCTGAGTGGCCGCGTGGGTAAAGCAGGGGTGGTTTGCACGGAGCTGTCACATACAGTGATGTGAAGTCCGTGTTTACGCGCTCATTTGACACACATCTTTCAGCTACTACAGTGTGCTGGGCACGGACGTTCCTAGTCTGGGAACTAGGGACACCACAGGAAAGGTGGCAGAGTCCCTGACATTCTTGAGGGGGAGGCAGACGAGAGACAAAAACACAGATGCGTGAACAAGGTAATCTCGGGTCTGGCTAAAGGCTGTGAAGAGAAACGCAGGATGGTACGGAAGAGGACGTGATATGGTTACTTTGGCTAGGGTGGTCAGGGAAGGTTTCTTGGAGGAGGTGATGTTTGAGCAGACGCTAGAACGATGAGGAGGGGAAGACGTTCTCAGTAGAGGAAATGATAGGCGGCCTTCTTTATTGGATGAGGAAGCTGAGTCTCAGAGGAGGAAAGGAACTTGCCCAGAGCCACAGGCCAGGGAGAGGCTGTAGCTACAGGACACCCCTGGGGACCTGCCAGATTCCCTGGGGGCCTTCTTGCCAGTTAGCACGCCCAGCCTCCATCAGCTGCATGTTGTGGAGACAGTTCACACTTACAACCTCTCCCGGACAGGGATCTGGGACCACTGGAGTCCCCTTGCCAAAAAGTGCACCGCATCCCCACCTGATGGCCAGTACCTAGAAGTGGACGCAGGGGTCCCCAAACCCAGCTGCCTGTGGGCCAGGTGGGCAGGCCCTGCCATGTGGGTCCAGAGCGCTGGTGGGATTAGGTGAGGCAGAGGTCCCTGGAAGTCTCAGAAGCACCTGGCTTCTCCCCTGGCTCAGACCTGTGCCCCTGACCCCAGCAGGTCCCTCAAGAGCACCTCAGAACGTCCCTTGCCCACCCGTCTCAGCTCTGCTTCCAGGGAGCTGCGTTCGAGAGGGAGAGGCATAGGGCATGTGAGCCCTGTTCTTGGCAGGGGAGGTGCAGGGGCAGGGAGTGGGTTCTCATCGCAACGTCCCCCGAGCGCCTTGTCCCCGAGGAGCCTTCTGCCTGTGTCTGCGTGGTGCTGATGCGATGGCAGGGCTGGAGGAAATCCCTGGGCCACCTCTCCCCACCCCCACCTCCAGCTGCTCTCTCCCTGTCTGACAGTGGCAGGGGGGGGGAGGCGAAAACCCCCGAGCCGCCAGCC